CTGCATTTTAAAGGTAGTTGTAAAAGTCTAGAAGGTGGGTTTGCCAAAAGAATCAGGTTCAACTAAGAAAATATGTACACTGCTTTGACTCAGTAAACTCATACTCAGTATGGTTCATCTTCTTCATATTTACTTTTGCCCATATTAGAAAACAATTAGCTTACTAAACAAATTTGAGTATTTGGGAAGAAAAAATCTACTTTGAGTCTCTCTCATTTGACTAAGAATTACATGATATTTGATAAGCTTGTTTAAAAATGGACATATCCAAATATTATTGTAAACACCCATTGATTTGTTTTACCTGCAATATAAGTATTTTACTTAGTTGGCTTACATAGTAGCTAATAATATTTGTTAATGTAATTTAACTGCTGTGAACCTTTACTGAACAAATATTGAAATTTATACAAGTCAAAGAAAGAGAATCTCTAATGACTTTTGTAAAAGCTTCCATTTAATAGTTAAGCAGAAAAGTTTATATGACATACCAGATGCAATTAACAGTAGATTTTACATTTAATAAAAAGAAAGAAGCATATGTATTTGCTTTATTCATTCTATCATAATTTGCATTAGAGCTATGGGTGTTTAATGAGCAAATTCCAGCTAAAATGCTATATTGATTTTCTTAGTGAACTTTGTAATAGCTATCTACCTTACAAAATCTCACTGTTTACAATTGTTTTCTTTACTAAAAGCTAAAAATGTTTTAGAATTGATGACTTTAGCATAATAATTCTTTTAAAATAAAGAGCACTTTTAGAATGTGCAGGTATTTTAGTTACAAAGAGAAAGATGTTATTAAATTATTCCAATGCAAATACAGTTTATGCAACTAAATAGTAATGTCATATTTGTAAATATTGCAATGCTTGCAAGCATTGGAAAATAATCCTTTTTTCTTAATTTAGGCCTGTGAGATTTAAATATTTTAACTCTTGACTGCCATTATATGTATATGAGTTAGTAAATTACACAATTCATTTTAGCTTAATACTTGACTATTCGTACTTCATTTCTGTGTTTCATTTTCTTGCTTGAAACATGAGTTCTATAAGAATTTGTGTTTCGTTTTGGTCAGGCCTCAAGATAAACAGGATAGGGTTGGTTAGTGCACTGTTGGAAGGTCTCCAAAAAAAACCTCATGGTGTCAACTAGAACAGTTGGTGACTAAGTAGCTGGAGCACTTTTTTCATTGGATCAGACATCAAGTCAGTGTGCCACTATGGGGCTAGTATTTTGCTGGGTATGCAGTGTCTTGAGTGGGATTCAGAAGCCTGACTTGTTAATTAATTTTCACCTGGCATTTTTAAGAAGGGTAGGGATGATAATCTGGGTATTCTTTACTCCTTTTAATATGGAGGGGGTTTGTGTCACTCTCTCACAGACGTATGATTAGACAGTTTATACTTCACATACTTTCCTGAATACAACACAAAATGTTTTGGTTTGCTGCTGCCTTGCAATCTGAAGGTACATGTATTTCAGTGGCTTATTTGAAGAATCTTGTGAATCTTATGGTCCTGAACTTTTACTTGTGACTGAGCTCAGTCTGAACAGTGAACTTTATTGTTAACATCATACTTTGGACTCCCTGCAGCTGTGTAATAGCATATAGCATATGTAACGTACTACATATATAGCATATATTTAGCATTAAAATAAAAATTTATAAAATATTAAATAGTGTCAGAAATGTATAGGCATTGGATAACAGAAAAGTCTGACCTAAATTCAGCAGAAGGTTTGGCTGTTAAAGGAATCAGGTGAGTTAGCCTTCTGTAGACATTAAAATGAGTTAGAAGAAGACTTCTAAATTTTTTTTTAACTCAGTATTTTCTTGTGTTCAGTGTCAATACTGCTACATAGTATTGATATGCCACATAGCTATGCTTCTTTTTTATCTTTTTATTTTTTTAAATTTAGATTACCATGCAGGCATCTTACATGTTTTTCTGCACTTTCCCTAGTCTGTTTTAATATGAAAAATTCAACTTGCAATATCAATTTTGAGAAATAGAAGCAAAAGCCAAACACTTGAAACTTATATGGAACCACTATAATTTTTTTTTAATGTAGTTGGTGGATCTGTGCATTGTGATATTTATTCCAATGCTTTAATTTGGTAGAAGGATAAGAAAATAACATTAAAGGGTTGGCTTAATTTAAGTCACTTTTCCACTGACAGTATTTAAAAGACAATATTTTGTAATGAACCTTTGGGTGGGGGAAATGCTTGCTGTTCAAGGCAATTAGCCTCTGGGCTGCTATCAGGAATAGAAAGGTTTGAGATAAACAGGATGTTTAAGTAACTTAAAAATGTCTTTTTATGAATGGTTTCATACCATTATATATACATTACTTCGGTTTCAAGTGAAAAAAGCAATAATCTGATTTTTAAAAGCCTGTAGAGTTATTATTACCATTGGTTATAGTTGCTTAGAGAGGGAATTAGATATGCCAAAACTCAGTCCCTCTCAGTGTAGTTGTATACTCAAGATGCATTTTAACAATCAGCAAATTGTGGTTTTCTGTGCTGAGGTGGGGATGTTACAGGGCCTGACAGAAGAAGAGATGAACTCAAAGAAATTAACTAATCTGGAGGCTAATTAACCCCAGTACAGTAATAAGTGCTAAATCTTCAGTTATTTAAGACAGCTTTCCATTAATTCCAGTAATTGTTTTCATTATGAAAACTACATAATGTTTCCACTTGCAGCTTTATAGAAAGGGTTCTCTGTGCAGTGTCTCTGGCATGATGCTGGATAAGATGACATCATTTAGTGGAAAAACTATTGTAAACAAATATATTAAGGTCCAGTTAGGCAATAGTTACCATACATAGATAAACTGCTTGTGTATTCCAGATCCAACTGGGACATAGAAGTTGTATTGTAGTTTACCCAGGCAGTCAATGTACTAGTTACCCTGCCATCACAGATCTCAGCAACATAAGTGGTAATCTGGTGAGCCCATCTCCTACAATTTGTTCTGGCTGAGCTATCTCTCTTTGCAGATATCAGACCCATCCTCTGCAAGTGCTGCAAGTCAACATCTCATTACCAATCTGTGTGCATGCAGTTTTGCAGCTTCTCTGCTCATGCCTTTGTTTTTCCATTCCACATCAAGCAAAGCTTTCCTGTTGTAAACAGGTTGAATTGATCTTAAAGAAAAAAAAGACACTATATACTCAAACAGTAGATTATTTAATAAATGTTTGTTTCATTTTGTATACATTTCAAGATTTGTGCTTCTGATGATGGTGAATTTGTTTGTTTGTTTGTTTTTTGTTGTTGTTGTTGGGATGCAACTTGTCACAGCTTGGTCTGATGGCTACACTTGCAGCTCCTTTTCAGACTTTTGTGACAGGAGGGACTCCACTTCCAGAAGTAACATTTAGCTTTTCCCTGTCATGTTTTGACCAGTCTGCTGCACTTGTACAACCTTTTGCTGGACCTGCAAAAAATGCTTCCTTACTCTTCACTAATACTCTTCTCCCCAGCTTGAAAACAAGAGGATTGTTTTCCTACATTGAACATTTTCCTAATTAATCTCTCTGAACTCTTTTTTCTGTTCATCTTCTCATTTGTCTTACATTCGTACTTATCTGAGGTGCTTGTGAACTATATGGAAACTTAGCACTTCTTTATAATTCAGTTGGTTGGGAAGTTTTGGGTCTTTTCCAGTACTGCAACCAAAATGTACTGCTATGTTCCTATTGTTCCATTCTGCGAAGAGCCAAAAAATGTTTTGTATCACAGTATGAAGCTTTTGTACAATAATGTAGAAAGGTGAAGTATGAGTAAACTAACATATAAAGGCAGTTAAGTTGATGTCAATTGACTTAAGAATGGACAGATAAAAGTGAAGAGTGAGGAAACCTTTATTTAAGACCTTAATGTCTTAAGCAGTGGTTCAGAGTGGAGCAGAGTTCTGAAGAGGATAAGGAAGCCCATCAGCAATGGCTTAATACAGAAGGTTCTTGAGAAAAAAAAATGCTTCAAAATTTTAAAGAAACTGTGGTTTGGTGTTAGGTGGCTAAACACCAGCTTGGCTGACTAGAAGGGGGGCATGAACTCTGAAACCTACAGATCTCAGTTGAGTTTTTTGGAGGTGCCAGTGACAATGAGAGAGGATAAAGTCCCCAGTCTTGGAATGGCAGTGGTCTTACTGTGGCATCCTTAAAATCCCAAGACATTTTGACTGCAGGGTTTTATGATGACCGTGAGGAGAGATTTGCAGTATTGCAGTGGGAAATGATGAAAGTATGAATAAAGATTTTAGTGGAGGCAGGGTCGAGGTAAGGATTCTGGCAGTGTGCCAGAGATGGTGATAGACATATTGACAGGGGAGAGAAGGCAGAAAATGTAAGCTTGGGATGAGGAATGACTTGAAGGTGTTAGCATGCTCCCAAGGATAGACAGTAAATCTTAGTTTATTGGTACCTAATGCTCCAAGGTCCTTGGTATGCCCTAACAGATAATATAACAGTGTATTACACAATAAAATAAAGGCTTGGCAGAGAAGGAGACATGCCAGCTGTACCATTCTTGTGATACCAGACTATGAAAATACTAGATTTTTAAATATTTAATATCAGTGTGCCAGCCTGATAGGAAGTAGTTTTAATGGATCATTACTTTTAACTCTTCTGTCATAGAAGAGACCTACTAGTGTCTCATATGATTCTGAACTTTAAGAATTACTTTTTCATTAAGGAAATATTCAGAAGGCAAAGCAAATCACTTCCTTGCCCTGTTTGATTATATAGGGCTGAATGTGAAAACAGCTTTATTTCGTTCCTTAAGTATTCTTTTTAGCAATCAACAGCAATTTAGTGTTCTGTCTGAAGAGTAATACAGACCTTACCTAGAGTAATTTGAGGTCAGTGGAGAAATGTTGATTTTAGGAGATGCTGGCAAAGGCCCATGTAAGTGCATCTAATAGTGTCTTTGTGTGTTGAACTGGTTTGTTAAGCACACTGGTTACTTTTGCAGCCCTAGTGGAAGAAGTTTATTCTGCTCAACGGGAACGTGATGCAGCTGTCATGGCAAGGCTTAGGTTAGCCAATGAAGAGAGAGATGAAGCATTTCTACGCGTCCAGCGTTTAGAAGAGTCTCTCAAAGAGTAAGTATACATTCCCCCCCCGTGCAAAATATTGTTGTGTCAGTCTCTGACTGTCATAAACTGCTTAACTGTGGTTATATAGGAAAACAGTGCGAACTTCTTTGTGATGAAATATGAGACTAGTGCTAGTTTTCCTGTGCTACTGGTTAATTTGCTAGCCATTATATAAGACTGTATTTTTCTCTGGATACTGAGAGCAAGGTGAATAATTTTGATGGCAAAAATTAAAAGTATTATCAGAAGTTTTGGTATTGATTTATTCAGGGTTAAATAAGACAGATGTGACATTTTGTAGGGATCTTTTGACATGGAGTACCAGAATGTCAGTCAGAAGTTGCAATGCATAGGAAATCAATCAAGCCTTTAAGCTCACTAGACATTTCCTTCAGCAAAATTTCTACTAATGATGTGGGTGATGTAGTAATAATATATGTTTTTTTCTTATCTTTAGTGTAGGAGCAATTTGTAAGGCAATAAGGATATAATTAATACTTCTCAGAGTTTTATATGTGCTATGTAAACACAACAGAAATAGACAATCTCATGTTAAACAAAACCGTTAAGTCAGGAGAGTAAGATGAAGAACAGTTGCTTTTCCCACTTCAGGATATAGGCAGCTTCGAAGCTACAGTTTGTCTCTCCACATGCTACTTCTCCATCTGAGTTGTGATAATCTTGGTTGCCTTCTGTGGTAGTCCCCCAAAGTCTAGAGTGGCTGAGAAGTGTATTGTATTTTTCTACCAAGAGAAATAGAAAGGGAACAGAGAAGGTTTTTTGTCATAGTAGACCTAATAGGTGCAGTTGTTAGTTAACAAAATGACAGGCAATTATGTTTTAAATAATTGATTCGACTAAGAACTCCTGCCTTTTTATGGGAGAAAACCAGTTGTCATCCTTTGGATATTTTTATAGGTAGCGACAGAGAAATGTTGTCTAAATAAATTTCAATAATCTGCACATCGTTTGTGTAAATTACTCTGTGGAATTTACAAGTTGCTGGTTTTTCACAGCCTGTAAGTGTGACTTAACAGCAAAATTAGGAGATTCCATTCCCACAAGATTCAATGCAGGATTTATTAGACTGACTGTCTCTACAGAGCCTGTTATAGGTGCACAGGCATCTGACATCTAGCTTTGAGCAGCAGTCTTGGAGGAAATGACAAAGGTACCTTAAATTCCCATAAGAGGCATCATAACTATGGGCCTTACTCCAGTCTTTCTAATTTCTGCTGTTACTCTTACAATTTTCTATGTTCCAAGAGTAAAGAAAGCAAGAAAGTTTTGAAAGTTGAAAGCAGAAGGATTAGAAGCTTTGTATTTTGGAGAACATGTGTATTACCTTCCCCGAAAGAATATCATTGCAGAAGGCACTGGATACTGTAAGACAAAAGGTACTTGCTCTGCAGAGTGGGTCAGTAGCTGCTTTAGCTGATAGCTTGGAGCCAAGCTATTATACCTTATTGCTATAATTTAGAGAACAGCAATTGTTGTTGGCTGTCATCCACTTTTGGATGCTTTATAGAGAGGCCTGATACCTTGATGCCATTCATAGTCTGAGCATTGGCACAGGAAATTTGCCTGTGGAGAACCCCAACACAGGTAAAAATTGCAGTGAGCTAAGCGGCTAATCTTCTTTCAAACCTGATACACATTCCTCTTTACCTAAACCAATGAGTCATTGTCTGTAGCTACTGTCTCTTCCTGTATATTCTGCAAGGGTGCTGCTCAGGCTTCTGTGTGACATATGCCAACATCAGGACACAAGACTGGGACAAAAAACAACTTAATTCAACCGATTTCTACTTGCCAGTCTGTATGTGTACTGTAAGTTCATAGTTCACATATTTTCCAGGGTCTCCCATTCTGCATTACAGACACTGACTGTGGCAATGGCAGCTTGTTTGGAAGAGTCATACCCAAGTCTTCCACTTCCTGTGTGCTGTGTGACCTGTCATTGAGAGCATCCTGGACATGAACAAAACTCTTAGGCAGATCCCAAGCAGGCTTATGCCTACTATAGGGCACAAAGATGTTTCTGAAAAATATTACATGATTTTATTTTCATTGGTAGTTTTAGTGTCAGTCATCAGAGCAGTAAAAGAAAAATCCTAATTAACATAAGCCACAAAGGCAGAGAGCCCAAAAGCTGTTTGGCTAAACAAAGTTTGTTAGCTTGTTACTCATCCAAGCAGCAAGTACTTAATTGTAATGAATTATTGGGCATTAATTGCTATATGTAAGACAAATAATTTATCCTGAAAAGGAGAAAAACTCATTATTTACATTCAAGTGATCATCATGTTTACTGCATCAAATGTCTTAATATCTGCCTCTTTCCTTACCCTCACTACCCATTCAGCCAAACTTCAAGCTTGACAAGAGTGTCTTAAGCCGTATCAGACAACGTAAGAAACTGCAAAGATTTGTTGCTCCATTCCACCAACTTATATTCAGTATTACCTGAGCCCACAGTGACTGCACCCATTTGCACAACCTGACCAAACTCAAGCTGACCACAGCTCTTCCCTGACCCATGTCAGTCCTCCATGACAGCACCTTAAAGATAATGTGATATTTATTCCAAAAAGAGCAACGCTGTGGTACAGGGAAACATTTCCATTGTGGCTGTTTGTTTGGGGGTGGAGGGTCCTTTTTTTTTTTCCTGAAGGAAGTTATTTGCTTTTTTGTAATCTTTTTGTATTACTAACTGTGGTAATATCTCATCTGAAGTGACAAGGCATCCATTTCTGTATCTGCCTGGATATCTGGCATTTTGCAATGAGAGGAGCAAGCCAAAACTGTGACTGAGAAGAGTCAAATTGAGGAGCTACATTCTCTGAAGCAGAGTCAACCCCAGGAGGAAATTACTTTTCTCAGCCTCTTTATTCTAAGTGTTTTATTACTGTGGCTGAATGGAAATTTTGGGGGGAGTTCACCTCACCACTCTACTAAAGCTTTGGAAGGAGCAGAGATGGTGGGATGAGCCATGAGGCACTTGGGCTATTTTCTTTAATTTTGGATACTCCTGGGGAATCTTAGAGCTTTTCCAACTACCGTCCTTAATATTTTCTTCCTGCTGGTGGCCGGTCATTCAAAAGGTCAAGTTCTCTGTCTCAGATGCAGAGCACATGGAGGTTTTGGCTACTTGTGCCACACTCATCAAGTTATGTAACGCAGGTCAGTCTTTCCATCTGCTCTGGACTTACTCCAACCAGAGATCTTTACAAGAAGGGGGTATTGAATAGCCTGCCAACAATTATCAAATGCTTTAATGCTTTCTTTCAACTGGCAGCTGGAACAATACTGTTGTCATTATTTAATGGTTAACAACCAATATTCTTTCAATTCTGTTGGTCCTAGGCATTAGCAGAATGTGTGTAGAAATGGGAGGAAGAGGAATCTTTGGTTACTGACATTTAAAATCATAGAATGGTTTCAACTGGAAAGAACCTTAATGATCATCTAGTTCCAAACCCCCTGCTATGGGCAGGGACTCATCTCACCAGACCAGGTTACTCACAGGCCCATGCAACCTGGCCTTGAACACTTCCAGGGAGGGGGCATCCACAAGTTCTCTGGGCCATCTATTCCAGTATCTCACCACCCTCACACTTGTCATGATTTGACTCAGAATCAGCAATTAAATGGGTGACAATAATGCTCTTGATCCCCTCCCCCTCCCACCCATGATAGGGAAGGGAGAGAGAGAATAAGGAGAGAGACTTTCTGGATTTAAAACTAAGCTAGGCAGCCTTAATGAAGTACTAATGATAAAAGAAAATATGTACAAATATTTACAAGTATGCTCAGGAATGTGCAAAGCCCCTATCCCCTCCCCCTATCCCCAGCAATTCCCATGGCACTCTTCACAGCTGTGAGCGGTTCTGAAAAGTCCTTGACCACTGCTGGAGAGAGCAGCAGAACAAAACAGGAGCTGAGGGTAGTTACAAGGATCAGAAATGCAAGGGCCTGGGGATCAAAGGAGGCTGGTAGACAGGGTCCTCCTTGGACACTGACCATCAGTGGAAGAGAAGGGAAGAAGAAGGGCTCGACTTCTGTAATCCCTGAATTTATACCAAGACCTATGTAGGTATATGGATGGAATACTTTGGTTTGCCAATTTTGCCATCTGTCTAGTCTGCTCCTCCCTATGTGAGGGTTGTAGATACAACTGATCGGCTTCTTTAGTGTCCAAAGTAGCAAATCCAACAAGTAGAGCTAAGTGTCCTTGGTCTTTTGGCAGTATCTATAAACATTTGAGTTTTATCAGTCCACTAGCTAGAAAAACTGGCTGCTAGTTTCAACAAGTGTGCCACTTAAAAGAGTTCACTGAAGAAAAAAAAAATCAGTAAAAACAAAAATTGGCCTCATCCTCTCTCAAACCAGACAACACTAAATATTTTCTTCCTAATATAACACATAAACCAACCCTCTTCCATCTTAAAACCATTACCTCTCATCCTATGACTACATGCCCTTGTAAAAGGTCTCCCCCCAGCTTTCTTGTAGACCCTCTTCAGATACTGTAAGGCTGCTATGTGGTCTCCCTGGAGCCTTCCCTTCTTCTGCAGGCTGAACAACCCAAACCCTCTCAACCTGTCTTTATAGGAGAGATGCTCCAGCCCTCTGATCATCTTTATGTCCTTCGTCTACACTCACTCCAACAGTTCCGTGTCCATCCTGTGCTGGAAGCCCCAGAACCAGACACAATAACCCAGGTGGCATCTCACAAGAGCTGAGCAGAGGAGGAGAATCACCTCCCTTGACCTGCTGGCCACACTTTTTTGGAAGCAGCCCAGGACATGGTTGGCTTTCTGGGCTGCAAGCTTACATTGCTGGCCCATGTTGAGTTTTGCATCAACCAAGTCCTTTTCTTCAGGGCTGCTCTCAATCCAATCTCTGCCCAGCCTGTATTTGTGCTTGGGATTGCCCTGACCCATGTGCAGAACTTTGCACTTGTCCTTATTGAAGGTCACTTACTGCCTGAGAACAGCACAAGGAAGGGCAGCAGAGCAAATACACAGCTCTGGATGCTGCTTTTTAAGAAGTACTGTCACCTAAGGAGGTGTATGTTCATCTACAGACAGATCCCTTGTGGCTGTAGTGTGCTGAAGAACTTAAGGTAGAAGTTCCTGTTCTTTTTCCCACCCCCATTTCTCCCTAAGGTGTCTTGCTTTCCCAGCTTGTTGGTCGGCTGGGTGGTTTTGTTGACCCACACATTTAGTAGGGTAGAAGTCCTCTGGAGAAGCTGGGTCAGTCCTGCCAATTTACTTTGACAAATACTGTTCCTTTCATTGTGAATACAAACTAGTTGGAGATCCATTTTTAAGTCTCACATGAAGTGGCACTTAGAGCAATGTAAAAACCTAAAGCAGGAACTCTACAAGGAACCAAGTCAAGGAGCCAGTTCTGAGAATTTTTACTTATAATAGGCTTGTTATTTATGATTTGTGTTACTTTATGAATACAAGTTAAGCCCAGCAAAGGCTGCCTTTTTTACTTTGTTTTGTTTCTTTGTTTTGTTTAGTTCTGGTGCTGACTGTATATGTTAGATTAGTTACAGCTTGTGAATTCCATATAAATATACCAGCTGTTGTTAACTGTTAGTACATTCTGAATTATTTCTTCTTTATTTAGAGAATTAATTTCTGTACTGGCTGATTTACTATGCCTTATATATTGTTATCTGTTAAAACTAATGCTTTAATGTAAAAGATGCTGGTGTGCTGTTAAGTATTTTATGATGCTTGCTGGCTAAAATCTTGGCTTCAGAGCAGCAGCTATCACAGCTTTTCTTGAATAAGGGTGTGTTGCTGTTAATGGTACTATATCTTTTACAGTATCATATGCTAGTGACAGACCCACTTTTAGGAGAAGTCACCATTATGTAATTAGCAATGGAGTGACGAGGTAACTTTAAAAATATGCTCATTTTTAGAGAAAAAAAAAAGGTCTTTCCACTTTAAAATACACTTAACTGTTTTGAATAATAAATTGTCCATATAACTAACCCGAGGTAAAATCAACTGCATACTATCCTATTTTTTTATATTTTTGTGCTATCCCTCACTGCTTTTGCACAGCCAGTGTTCAGTGCTGTATGACTAAATTCCTTGTATCATCTTTGTATTTGACAGGTCAATATATGCTCTGTTGATATAGAAACGGAGGAAAGTGCAGGCAGGGTTGTTTCAGAATTAAATAAGGGACCTTGCAGAGAATTGGCTTAGCTTGATATTTTGTGGAAGACATAAAATAAAAATATTTTTAAGGAAACTTCAACTAGGCTTTTGTCCTCATTTTGGAAGAGAGAGGTGGAAAAAGAATTACTTAAAAATGAAAAAAGTCCTGTCCTGTTTCATTTGAGGTGCAGTAAAAACAACAAAAATACAACGTCAAGTAAAAGTTGTAAGCCCAGAAATAAATAAATTGAGAGCATCAGTCATTTCTATCGCTGGGGAACTTTCTTCATCTAAGCACATATGAACAATTGATCCTTGTAGTCATATATAGCAGTAAACATTAATAACTTAACAGTCTGAAGTCAGTGCTGAAGATATGGAGCATTATTGAAAGATGGAGTCGAGCAGGTGGCACTTTAATATGTTCAGTGTCATGGTTGACTCTAAAGACTAGTAGAATGAAATTACTTGAGGTTCTAAAGATTTAAAAAGCGAACTCATTTTGCTGCACTAAGGAAATGCTACTGATCAGGCTTTCTGTGTCCCTTTTTTCTAGGCTAGAAAATATTAACCCTGAAGAAAATGACATGGTAAGCCATTCTCTGAGGAGATTTCTTGATGTCAGTCTTATATCTTAGAGGCTTAAGTTCAATTGAGTGGGTTTCAAGAACTAAGATGTGGGAAAAAGAAGAATTGACACACTAATAATGTACATCTTTGCTGCAATATGAAAATTCAATAACTTCACTCAGTCAATTTACAATTCACATGTGCCTATTAATTAAAACCCTATATTAAATAAAATATATTAAAACTTCATGTCTGACTAACATATAATGTTGTTGGTAGACATTACAGGAATTACTGAACAGAATAAACAATGCAGACACAGGGATAGATATACTGAAGAATGGAGCTATAATTCTGAATCGAATACACAGGACCAAAGAACGTAAAAAGAAAATAATAGCTGAAGAAATGAACGCAGTAATAGAACAACGGGATGCTGCTCTGTCTCAAGTAAGTCTCTGCAAGTATATAATCGCTCAATACCAAATGTCTTTTTTTTTTTCCTTTTTTTTTTTTTTTTTGCATTATCTTTGGGGTAGGAATGCTTTTCTCTGTTGAAAATCTCAAAGAGAGCCCTTGTAGCAAATAGCTGATTAATGATCAACTGTTTCTTTGTGGTAGTAGTGCCCATTGAAATGTCATCAGTGCGTTTCATTAGGAAAGTTTTTTGGGTTTTTTTGCACCTGAGTATTACCTGTCTCCTTTTTTAACACAAAATAGTTTTGAGTGTATTGACCAAAGGCTTAGTTTTGCAGTGTGCTGTATTGGTATCATGCATTGAGTAGCAGTGAACTGGGACTCAAGGGTTTGTAAAGGGATATACGTGGCAGAAATATATGTTAAAGGAAGGTAATGGTACCACATGCAACAATGCAATCAGTTCCTCCCTTTGCTGCTTTACATTCAGGAGATAAAAATCAGCATGTGGTCCTTGACTCTCAAAGCCTTACACTTCTGTAACGTGACTTGAAAGAACCTGAGGTCCTTTTTCTGCTCAGATCGCACACTCCTTACAATTTCCTGTTTTCACAGAAGAATATTGTATTCATTCTCTTCTTCATGAAAAGAGTCTTGTTGCTTCTGATGGAAGAGTTTTTGTGTTGTTTTGGGTGGTTTTTTCCCCACTGTTTTCCTTCCTGGATTTTAGCTCAGTAGATTTAGACTTTCCTAGATTTAGCTCAGTAGAAATTGGCTGTAGGAAGGTGCAGTCCAAGTAGGGGTTATATCTTCTGGAAAAAGACAAGATTTTTAGACTGGATGAAACTCCTTAAATCTTCATCCTAGGCAAGAAGTTTCATCTGACTCGTCTGATATTGGAAATACAGATTTTTTTTTTAATGTGAGTTAGCAAAGTTAGCTCACATCTAACAAAGTTCTATTAGATTTAAAGTCAGGTTTGTGATCTTGAGTGGTATTGATACTGTTGATTGAATTTCTGTTGTACTGAGAAGTCTGGTAAAAGAGTCCATTCTACGCACCCTGTACTTTTAATTCTTTTGTAATTGTTATTTTGGCATTCTCCCCTACTTTAACTTTGAAAGCTCCATCTGCCTGCTGGTTAAAACATACTGTGTGTCCATTCAGTATACACTGCAAAGGATGTTAATGTTGAAAGATACTAATGGTGGAACTTTGCTACTTTATTTTGCTTTTACAATAATGATGAGCAGCGTAGCTACTGGGAAACTGCCAAAAGTTTATGGTCTTTCTTCTTTTGCACAGGGCATTTGAAAATTGACCATCTTATAAGCGAAAATCATTCAATGTAAGAGAAGGATCCTTCAGTTTTTTATTTTTGTTTCAAGAGTTTTTGCTTCTTTGTTGAAGTGGACTTTCAGGCATACTTGGACTGTAAAACTTTTATGAATGTCAAAAGAATGTCATCAAAGGGCATTTTAATACACATTTTAATTTAATATATTTTTAAGCTGCTAAGGAGCAGTCTTTTCCAGGTAATAAGCTTGGAAATTAATAAAGATAATTATTTTACATAGTAATGTCCTAAGTGCCACAACTAACAATGCCATCTTCAGGCCTGTCAGCAAAAAGCACTGGTAGTGTTAAGTAGATAGTGCAGCTGAAAAAATAAAATAATAATCCCCAATCAAATGAAAAATCAAATATTTGGAATTAAGCTGCACTGCTGTGTTACTACTTTATAATACCATGATAATACCATTTATAATACCATTGTTTTAAATTAATTATTATTAATACAGCTGTATTGATCATATGTTGTGTTTTCACATATGTGGTGCTTTTATGACTGTAACTCTTGAATCTAGAAAACAGGTCCTTGGAATTGAAGCTACTGTTTCAACCTGCGTTTCTCACTTGAAGACTCCTTGGGAATTCGTACTGTACTTTAATTATTAGTAGTCTTTTGTTAACATTGCAATAGTGGTAGTTATTACAGTGCTAACAGCAAGAACAATAAGAGAGGGATTCCTGCATTAGACCACAAAGGGACTAGATATAATTCAGGGGATGTATATGCTTAGCATAACAAATGCAAATTATTGGAAGTTAGATCTGAGGTCGCCTCACGCATTCATATCATCTGCAAGTTAAAATCTTTTTCTTTTTGGTGGAACTGACATCAAATAGAAGGTGAGGGGGAATTGATGAGAGCAAGCTGAGACAAAGCAGAAATAGGGTAAACCATTAGCATGCTGTGGATATTCTCTGGAAAAGGCATTTTTAAAGTTCAGAGGTCACTGGGCAACGAGAGCTAAATGCTTCATGACACACTGTGTGAACACCGTGTTGCTCTGTTCCTGCTTTCTGGTCTGCAGAGCTGGAGCAATGTCATTTGAGTGACCACCGTAACCAGTTCTGTATGACAGAGAACTGCCTTTATTATTGTAAGGGTTTGGACTGACTGCACTTAATGAAGCTGCATCTGTTATTTTTATGGTTTTCTTCACAATAGCCTGGCATTTGACAGCTGAGTACTGTGAATATAAGTAGTAGAGCTTTTTAGGTTTTGCTTGTAGGATTTCTGATTTTTCTCAGTAAGAAACAATAACACCAAAGCCCTAAGCGCTTCAACACATTGCTCTGATTTCAGGTAAGGAATAGATTACATTCCTAGAGAATCGACATTCTCTGAACTCTGCATTTCCTATCACCAAGCAAATACAAATTTCTTTTCACCAGTCTTTGAAACGCTGTTTTGCAATACTTTTTCTGGTAGTTATACTATTAAGCTGGATTTAACTGGACTTCTGTTGCAGCATACTTGACATTGGTTACCAAGTTCTGATTCTTCTATGTGAATTTTACTTGAATATTTTTTTTATTCTTCAAAAAATGAAGAGCACTGTTCATGTTTCAGAAGGTAATGAAAATGGTTTTTTGAGATTTCATATGTGAATGTTACTTCTTACTAGGAAGCAGAGAGAGGCACTTCTATCACAGTATTGAGCTGTGCATGTTTATGTAATCTTAGATCATTCACTAGATTGCTGAGCAAATATGCAAACTACTTTTTGTATGTGTGAAAACAAATAAAATGGTATAAACTCAAATATTTGATACTACTTTTAGTATGTATTTTCAAGTGAATAAAAAACAAACAACCAAAGCGTGGCTAAACATTGACATCCATCTTCTCCTCTACCAACCCCCTTAAAAAAACAAACTCAACTGTTTGGTTGTATTTGCTAAGATATGTTTGTTAGTGAACAGATATTGTGTTATCCTGGGGAGCTTGAGTCTGTTTTATGACTGATCCTCTGAAAGGAAATTGTCTGTAATGTTCAGTTTTGTCTTAACCCATTCAAGGAAAAAAACTTATTTGTCCAGTTGTTTTTTCTACAATTCTGCCTTTCTTCAAGTATCTTTCTTGTTTGAGTAATCCAGCCAGGGACAGACATCTAGTAAGGATTACATATAGCATAGTGTATGACGTTCTTAAAATACTTTAAAGTAGTGGTTTCCAGCAGGAGGCAATACAGTGCAATGTCTCAAACAACCACCTATTAACTACGTATCACCTTACGGACAGGAATGTTAATATGATTACGTGGTTGGCAGCTGAAGCTGAGGACTTGAGTAAGTCATTGCAATTACTTTCCTTCTGGTTTAGAGAAGAAAGAGGACCTTTTTATTGGTACAGTTTGAAGGAAGTGATTTTTAAAAGCTAAATAAGATACGGTTTATAGTTTAGGAGATAGCGTGTTTGGTACGTTTTCACTCCTATCTTTAATTCTATAAATGCCTTTTTTTAACTGGTAACAGTTCTATACAAAGTTTTAAATGTTAAAGGTGTAGAATTTATTGTTCAGGCAAAACAGTATCGTCCATAACACAATAATCTTGAAGCAATAACATAACTGGCAAGCAAACCTGGTTTTACAGCTTTGAATAGTGTGATCACATCCTGCTATGCAGGAACATGCTTATGACTGTTCATGTAAAAAATTGGCATGCACCCAGTTGCTCATCTGAAGCAAGTTCAAGTACCTTTCTCCATTTTGAGGCACTGTTGGCAGCAGGCAGCGCTTTATCATCATTGAAAACAAAGATGAGAAGCACTATGCTTGACTGCCCATCATTATGAGTTTCAACTAATGACTAATAACTGATAAATGTCTACTCTACAACAAGCCAGCTTCTTGCTAACTTTTATTTTTTACATTTTACTGGAGCAATTTGCCTCCTTTTACACCAAATAAGGTGTAGAGCTCTGTTACATGTGATTCATAGAGCATTAAGGCATTCTCAGCACACATGAGTGAACAGGTCTTATTGGAGCAATAAACCTAAGAGCTGCATGAAGTGTAAAAACAACAAAAGCACATGTAAATGAGAAAAAGATTACTTACAGGTCTTGGGCCCTTAGCTGGAAAATACTCAGATGACAGGTTACAATGCCTCACGACTCTTATTTTAGGATACAGGTGATCCCTTTGCAATCCAAACCACAGTTTGGGATGTTATTTTTAGTAATGTGCATTTGCAGCTCGGTTTTAAACTCTGTGTTTTGGTACCCTTTGGCTCTTCCTGGTTAAGAATACTAATTGAGGTCTTGGTTGATAGGAGCACATTTGACAGTGTCCTTCTAGCAGCTGTGCCAGGATGCTTCCCCTACTACCTTTTTACCTTTTGTCACTGATATTTAGGAACAGAAGAAAAGTGAGGACACTGTATTCAGTTTTTTGTGAACAGGACAGCCACTGAGGTACTGGTTAATTTGATCATAGGCTTATTTGAGGAGGGAAGTGAAGGTAAAAAGGATGTTTATTGTAATTCCAGGATCCAAGGACCATGCTGGTTCATTCTTATGGCTGGTTTCCTTTGGGCAAGCAACAGCAAGTTCCTGTTGCTCTCATTTGCAGTGTTTTTTTCTGAGAGGTAGCAGATGAATGGGCATGGGGAAATTATTTGCCAGCAGAATTGTTAAACAGAGAGAGATGAGCTGTCTGCAAGATGCCCCTTTTGCCCTG